CTAGTCATATTATTTGCTGGCACAAAACTTCAATAATGCTTTTGTATTCAAAGTGTTTGTTGAATGCACGGGGGAGTTCCCCGGAGGAGGTGAGGCACCCGCGTCGGACGGTGCTCGAACGCTGGCTGGCAGCCTGAGCACCCCTCAGCTCCCACATTTGTATTAGTGTCTCTAAGACGACTTTGGTTTTTACCGATTTACAACGTATAGGGCTCGTTCGTTTCCTTGAAAAAACAAGCAAAACACTGTTCCGGCTGGTTTGTTGTGAGAGAGAAAATACTGTTTCGGTTGAAAAAGAAAGCTGAAAAAGACGGATTATAAAAGAAGCGAACAAGATTATATTGTAAGATAAAATAATGATCAAAATCCGTTTTGCGCAGACTTTCCCTCAGTCAATGCACGCCTTTCACTCATAGATGGAGGGAGTATCAAGCAATGGAATGTACTCACTTATTCAATTTCACTCCATATCCCAAACCCGTATGATATCCACATACCACTCAAATGTAAGTACTATTGCATGCCAAGTTGCCAACCTCCAAGTTATAATATTAAAATTAATATATTATTATGGCTAGTTACTTGATTAGTCTACAGCCTCCACCTGGCACTGACAGAATGCCAAGGAAACGCGGAGCCGTAGGGCCCACCTACCAGCAGGTACCCATCGAAACTCAAAAAATAAAAAATAAAAAAGAGGAAGAAAACAAAATGTTTTCCGTCACATATACGGTAGTGTTGCTTCCCAAGTCTTCTTAGTCAATATATACCTAACTAACCCTTATCCTAGCGTAGGTAATCAATCTACATCTTCTACGTTTATTTTTTTACCTGTTCCCTGCCAATGTACGTACGATGGAAGTTTCCTGCCAGTTTGATAGATAGGGAACTCCGGTTAAAAAAAAGATCTTCTACGTTTAGTCCACCGTTGACTTAACTGCTCTCGGTCCCTGTGCGTGGAATTCTGGCTCACGACGGCACATTCCCACTGCTCTCGGTACCTATGGCTTTTCTATATATCACTTCGCTCGGCAGGATAGATCCTCAAAATGTTTGCTGCGACCCTGTTCGACCTCTCCAGGTTCTGGTTTCCCCTACTCTAGCAGATCGCTCGTCTTGTCCATCTTTTTTTTTTGTATATTGATGAGTACCTTGCTTTCTTTCCAAGCTCGCAGGACAATCGATTCTACAGGTCGCATTGCTTTGATCGATCCTAATGGCAGCAGAGATTGTCACTTCTGCAGTTGCTCAGGAGGCTGTCAATCAGGTCCTATCAAGATTCAAGGACAGGTGTGAGCAGAACTCAGAAGCAAAGGACCGAATCGAGAGGATGGAGATGGCACACATCAAGCTGGAGGCTGCCCTCCAGACATCCAACAAGTGGAACATCACCACCAGAGCTCCATTGCTGCGATGGCAGAGCAAGCTCAAGCGCGCTGTGCAGGAGTGCGACCACACTCTTCGCAGGTGCAGGCAGCGCCTGCAGGAAGAGGAAGAGATGCAAAACAGTGTAAGGAGCTCCTCCTTTCCTAAGCAGATTGCTTATGCTGCCAGGTCGTTCGTCTCGTCCATCTTTAGCCGTGGCAGCGAGGATGAGCTGAGAAGCTCTGCTGCCGTCCGGCGGTTCGAGAGGTATGCAGATGGTGCGAGTGAGTTCTTGAGGTATGTGGAGCTTGGTGGCACACCACGTAGATATATGTTCTTTGACCCTCTTATACGCCATCTTCTCGCTGGCAAAGGAACAAAGTATTGCTTTGTTCGCGGGAGTCAACATCTGTCGTTTCTTTTACAGCCTTTTAGAACACATGACCATGGGGTGGATGGTAACCTAGTATTGTTACTTAAAGATAGCAATGCATCAGAGAACAATTTTCTTCTTGCCCTCAATTTCCGGCTTTCCGAGAGTATCGACATAGTTGGTGTTGCAGTAAGCTGCCTACAGCTATTCATACCTCACTTGAGCTCAACGGTCGAGGCCGTGAAGACAAAGCTCACCCAGCTACCAACACAAGACTTGTGCTGGGTATCATCTGTTTGTGAACGCCAAAACAATCTTTACAGGACCTGTTCAAAATGGCTTCAACCGAACCCGCTTTGTTGTCAGCAACAAGATCATTACTATGCCCAGAGCTACAATGCCACAAGCTCATCATCAGAATCATTGCTCTGTGATATATACTTGGAACCAGTTATGTTTGTGTACTTGTTGGCCCATGTATCACTCTCAGTTGAGAAGAACAAGCAAAGAGCGGTCATCGATGAAGAAAGTGAAACAAGTCTCACGAGAGACTTTCCTTATCTGAAATTTGGAATGCACTTCTGGCCCCATACCTCCTTTCAAGATTTACCGCCGAGAGTTGAGGGTTCAGCAACAGAGATGATCAACGGGGAGGCCGTGCAGCATGGCAGCTTTTGTGCGAACATTTCCTGCTTTGAACAACTGTGCAAGATGATGCTACCAAAGGCGGTAGATTGCCTTCATGGGAATGTTGCAGCTACCTCATATCAGATGCTGTGGAAGTCCAAGCATGGTGGAGCATTTCTTCGGGTGGAGAAGATCCCATGTAGACTAACCACTCAGAAAGACATGGGTGGAAAACGTTCTGAACGACAGCAGGTCAAGAAGGTACAGGGATGGGCAAGTGCGAATAATGAGTTCATGAACTCGTGGATTGCGCACGCACCTGCCAAGTTTCTGGGCTCAGCCATGGACTGGATTCAGGCAGAGAAGCGACTGCCCCAACCGTTATTATTCATAACTAATTCCTGCGTTCATGATTGTCCAATCAAGTTTTTCTCTTTGCAATATTACAGATCTTTTGCAAGTAAGATAAAGTCATTCAGCATGTTCAATGCCTAAAGGATTTCATGGTACCAAGCGTGTGCCATTCGAGCATTGAGTTCTACTAGAGGAAGCTCGTCATGATGGACAGCTAAGATAGATATGTCGACTGTCAAACAATCAAGCGTGTTCCTGATGGTGTGCATGTGTGTAAGCCTTCTTTTGTAACTACGTAATATTGTAGAGACTAAAAGGAGAAAATTGAAAAGAGATAAATAAAAGAACAGAGAGTGGAGATCTAGAAGAAGGATAGTTGGAGAGTTTCCCCAACTTGTGTCCATGGGTCTGCACTTTCCATTTAATCTTCAATATGGTATCAAAAGTGGGTTGATTTTGTTTGTTCCACTCAATATCCATGGATTTCTAGCTGCTTGTGGTGTTAGGCACGCAGCTACAATTTGGTTGTCCTCATGCATATGGCCGGCTGCAGCTCGTTCTTGTTGCTGGTTGAGGTGGTTGTTGATTGCAGATGGATCCAACCAAAAGGAAGATTTGGAGGCATTATAGTGGGAATCAAGGTTGACCGTCTTAGAGTTTTATATCCACATGGCTATAAGAAATAGAGTAACTAACTTTAGGGTGTGAATGGGAGCTTTTAGTTCCAAGGTCCTGCGGTAGATATTGGACAAACATATTGATCTTCACACATAAATTGGCTTAACATTCAGTAACAGTTAATTTCGCTAAATTTTTAAGGTGTGAGCGTGAGCTTTTAGTCTGTGGGTCCTCCTTTTTACGTGGGGCCCACAAGTTGATCTTGGTGCACAAATCGGCACATGTAGCTTCATACACTTCAAATTTCAAACGCGAGCTTTTGGTTCATATCATTTTGAATAATTTCTAACAAATTTCAGTTAATTTCACTAAAATTTTAAGATGTGAACGTGAGCTTTTGGTCCGAGATCCGACTTTTGATGTGGGGCTCCACATGCAGGTCTTGCTACACTTGAACTATGCATCATGCGGGTCAAGCTAGACTGGACCAGCAAAATGGTGGATTGAGTTCAGGGATAAAATATGCAACGACTGCTTTGGGCTGAGTTCGGGTTGGGCCTCAGTAGGCCGCCTACTAATTTTCAATTATAAAATAAATAAATAAAAGGAATGTTTTGTGTCAACCTCGGGCTGAGCTGATATTTTTTATGTAAAACTAAAAAGAGAGCTATGCCTAGGTCCTATCCAATAAGGTTCACGGACCAGGCCACGCTTGGTGAGTTGAGTCGGGCCGGGCCAACTTTGCTGAGTTCTAAACTTCTAATTGGCATAAAGTAGTTTCGTTTCGTATTGAGGCATACAAAATAAATTTTAGTAAATTTCTCTATGATTTTAAAGTGTGAGCACGAGAGTTTAGTTCTAGGGTCCAACTTTGATGTGGGGCTCATATGTTGATCTAGCAGTTCTAATAATTGGCACGAAGTAGCTCTCTATTGTATTGAATCATCTCGAATAAATTAATTTTAGTCAAATTTGATAAAATTATAAAATATGAACATGATAATTTAAATCCAAGGCCTGCATAGTCTAGTACGCAACCAAGTTGTAAGTACAGTGGTAGTGTACGGCCAATCATACAATAGAAAGTTGCAGCCCACTAGCCTGGATAGCCCCCCATCAAACGGATATTCATGCGGCTAGTGAGAGTAGGAATTGTGGATCTGCCTAATCTAGGCCTTATGTTAGCTCGCACACGGAGCTGGGCCTTGCGCGGCAGGCGGAAATTGATTGTCCAAACGGATATTCGGACATTCAGACTGAATGTCCGAATGACTGAATATGTATAAGCATGTAACAGACGGTAACTCCCCTGAAGAGAAAGAGAGAATGAAACTGAGCGGAAGCTGAAAGGCTGCTAGACATTTGATGGGTATGAGCTCAGCGTAGCAACGCGAATAACATTTTTTTAGATAATACAACACGAATAACATAGCGACCATATTGACAATGAAGATGTCTAAAAGGGTAAGTTCATAGCCGGTGAACATGACGGTTTGCAGTACATAACTATAAGTTTAAAGTTCTGGATCATAATGAGAAGAATATATAGTGTGCTACTAAGCAGCGTGATTATTCAGGTTTTATTTTCAATCATGACAACCCATGGCATACCGCTCAAAAGACTGCGGCTTATATTATATTACGGCACCGTCAACTGACCTAGTCAATCAGACACACGATCATCAGACTTGCCCTCCTGTGCACCGACCCCGACCTCCTGCAGATAGTGCTCAGCATCCAAAGCGGCCATGCACCCTGCAACATCCACAAGTAAATAATAGATATAATTACATATTGGTGACGTGCATCCACAAGTATATATATGCTATGCTGATGAAACCACCAATGCCAGTTTCCTAGATTGATTGATCTTATAAAGAGACAATGAGACCAACCACCATTCTGACTTGTACATTACTACTATTGCAAAAGGAGATTGTTCAAAGCAGATGCATCTTGTATGCAGATTTTCATGATAAAACGGGTAATTGTTAACTCTTTCTAAACAAGGATGAAGTAGGCACAATCACCATTTATGCGGTTTATGAGAATTTACTTTGCCAAGTAGAATTTATCATAATTTCAATACTTTCGTTAAAAACATTTCAAATGATCCGGTATATGTTGATTGAAGCATTTTCTAGATAAACGGTTTTTTAAAAGCTAAAGTCAGGACTCCACTTGCTATTGTTTAGTAAACTCTTAATCTTATTATCATGGTTCTAAATAACCTGCTATAGTCTAGCTATAGCTTTGTTATAGCCCAGTTGTAGCTTTGCTATAGTCTTTTCATAGGGTCTATCGCCACAATATTGTCAATCACTACTACATAAAACATTTTCATCAATGGATCATTAAAAACGCTTACGAAAATATAACACTGTCGTTTCATGATACAAACTAGCATTGAATATCATTTTCACCAATGCTTCGTTCATGATACGAGCCCACGGTGAAATTGATTTCACAACTATAAAAGGACCATGAGCTCCAAATACCTTAATTCCGACCCCAATCCTCTAGCCGCCCCATCCTCAGTTGCCCACTCCTCACCTATCCCCTCCTCACCCACCCCACCTCTCTTACCTACCCAAATCTCACTCCACCACAGCGGCATGGCATGCAGACCCGATGGCATAGCTTGCGTATGCCAGTGGGGCGCCTCTTCCTCTCCCCTACTCCACTCCAAGCACACCATGGTGGCCTCGGACGCACCCCTTGTTGTCACCCACACACTACTACACGAAGAACATAGTCGAGCCCTGTGGAGGGATGCCCCAATTTGGTGAGATTGCCCTCCCTCTCTCTCTTCCTCAACTCTTGCTCCCTATCTCTCATTCGTAGATCTGGTGTGGAGGCATCCTGATTCGCGCGTGACATTCTTAGATCCTTGGGGGGTAGGGGGGTTGCCTGGCTCAGCAGTGACTTTCATATAGCATACCTAGGAGGGGCTCACCGGCGGTGGTCTCGGAGTGGGCCCTCATCCTCAGTGGCGGAGCGTGATCCAATATTAAGGGGGGGGGGCTAATTCAATGCTAAACAATACAGTATTGCCTACTCCTACGTCTCTTGCTCTCTGCTGCCCCTTCCTAGATACTACTAGTCTTTACCTACTTTAGTCTTCATCAGCATGCTACTATTAGTCCTTCATGATTTTGCGAAGGCAAGCAGGTGCTGGAGCCCAGTTTCGCCTCTACTGAGCTCCGTCCCTGCTCATCCTCTTCACTTCTCCTCTCTCTCTCTATCTCCACGATAGGTCCATGGTGGGCAATGAACATGCTAGCAAGCTCGTCAGCAGGTTCGGCGCCAAACCATTACACAGAGGTGGGCATGCACCCCCGCCTCTCAAAAAATATTTTTTGGCCATATGTGTTCATCTGTTTCGTAGCAGTAAAGTTCCTCTATTCGATATGTTTGCATATTGATCACTTGCAATTCAATAGGAGCGAACGAATATTCGTAAAAGAATCATAGAGCTGTAGAGTACCTGATCCAGCGGCAGTTATGGCCTGGCGATACTTCTTGTCCTGCACGTCGCCAGCAGCGAAGACTCCCTTCACACTGGTGTGGGTGGAGCCCGGCTTGGTGACCACGTATCCCGCCGGCGAGTCAAGCTCGAGTTGCCCACCCAGGAACTCCGTCGCCGGCGTGTGCCCGATGGCGAAGAAGAGACCAGCCACCTGAAGATCCTTGACCTCACCACTCACCAGGTTCTTGACCTTGATGCCAGCCAACCGACGGCCGCCACCGCCGCCTTCTGCGCCACCAAACGCCTCGACAACCACCGAGTTCCAGACGACCTGGATCTTGGGGTTCTTGAGCACCCTGTCCTGCATGATCTTGGAAGCCCGGAAGGTGCTCCGGTGGTGGACGATGTAGACGCGGGAGCCGTACTTTGTGAGGAAGCTGGACTCCTCCATGGCGGAGTTGCCTCCGCCTACGACGGCGAGCGGCCTGTCACGGAAGATGGGGGCCGGGCCGTCGCAGACGGCGCAGGCGGAGATGCCATGGTTCCAGTACACGTCGGACCCGGGGAAGTGCAGCTGGCGGCGCGTGACGGCGCCCGTGGCGACGATGACGGCATCGGCGAGGACGGTCGTGGACTTATCCGAGACGACGCGGAAGGGGTGGGCCGAGAGGTCGACGGCGGCGACGGTCTTGGTGACGATCCTGGTGCCGAAGCGCAGGGACTGGTCGCGGCAGCGCTTCATCAGGTCGCTGCCCATGATGCCTGCAGGGAAGCCCGGGAAGTTCTCGACGACGGTGGTGGTGGTGAGCTGCCCGCCCGCGGCCACACCGTTGGCCATCCAGCCCTCGAAGAGAACGGGCTTGAGGTCCGCGCGGGCCGCGTAGATCGCCGCCGTGTGCGCCGCGGGGCCGATCCCGATGATGCACACTCGTGTGCGGAGTGGCGCAGCGGCGGATCCCTCCATTGCGGCTGCTTACTTGTGCTGGCTTGGCTTCGCGGCGGCGATCTGTCTCAATTCAGCTCGCGCAGTAGTCTGCATGGTCACTGGTCGGCTGAAGTCCCTTTAAAGACCACCAGCCAATCTCTGGCCGCGGTGTGGACGTGTCAAGCCTCTTTTGCCACGGTCATCCAAAACGGCTTCACCGGTGACACTAGTAGAGAACAGACCTTTGATCCTCGGTCAAAATGGGCTTTAGTTCCGGAATTTTTTGCGCCCGGGACTAGAAATACCTTTAGTCCCGGTTGGTGTCTCCAACCGGGACTAAAGGTCCCTGCCCAACGGCTACTGCGCCAGACAGAGGTGGCAGGGACCTTTAGTCCCGGTTGGAGCCACCAACCGAGACTAAAGGTATACTTTTACTCCCGGTTGGTGGCTCCAACCAGGAGTAAAGGTCTACTCTTGGGCCGTGGCTGCGCCCGGGGTTGGAAAGTTACCTTTAGTCCCGGTTGGAGCCACCAACCGGGACGAAAGGTCCCCCTTTATATCCCGGCCGTATCCTTCTTCCTTCCCGAGCCTGAGCTCAGCACATTTTGAAGCTCACTGCACTAGTGTTCTTGCTTCCTCTCTCCCTCCATTGTTCCTCCATCCATTCTTCGATTCCTCCGTCGATTTCTTCGATTCTTCAGTTGTAAAGGTTACCAATCTCATACTCTCATTTTTCACCATTGTCTTATCTCATTTTGTTCATTATATATATATGGTTCTTTATTGTGGTTTTTTTCATTTGTAAGCAATTTGAGCTCAAAATCACTTCAAGCTTGCATATTTACATGAAAGAAGGTTAAAGTAGCTAGTTGAACTTGCGGACCGTGTTCATCTCGGCGAGCATGTTCTCTGCCGAGCGGTAACGGACGTCAAGGAGGAGCTTTGATTCTACGAGGGAGAGCGGCAACGGTCGTGGAAGACCGTGTTCCCTTCCTCGTAGAATCGGAGCTCTTCCGTGGCCAAGTACGGTGCCGTTCGGTGGAGAAATGCTCGCCGAAATGATCATGTAAGCAAGTTCAACTAGTACGGATGATTATTTATTCATATGTCCCGATATCATCGCAGTAGTCTGTCAATCACCGTACCCAAACGTAGTATATACATAAATATAAACTTAGAAAATAGTTAGAAAATTATAGAAAATCCGTACTAGTTGAACTTGCGGACCGTGTTCATCTCGACGAGCATGTTCTCTGCCGAGCGGTAACGGACGTCAAGGAGGAGCTTTGATTCTACGAGGGAGAGCGGCAACGGTCGTGAAAGACCGTGTTCCCTTCCTCGTAGAATCGAAGCTCTTCCTTGACCAAGTACGGTGCCGTCCGGTGGAGAAATGCTCGCCGAGATGATCACGTAAGCAAGGTCAACTAGTACGGATGGTTATTTATTCACACGTCCCGATATCGTTGCAGTAGTCTGTTATGTGTGTACACTCCCATTCTTCTGTTAATTTGCGGAAATATCATGTGAATTACTTACTTACCGCCGAAAAAAGATTTAGAACACAATGACCATTAAAAATATCATTGTTTAGAGATATAGATAATTTTATAGTTTCTTAATTTTATTTGTTTATAAAAGGAGAAATTTATAGTGTATTAAAAAATGAGTATAGAGAGTAGATGGCAACTGCATCCATGTCCTCGGCCTCTCATGGGTTTCCAAAGCGACTTAGGCCGGGCCTCCCTCGCATTCCATGCGGCAAGTGTCGTGATGAGATGAAGATTGTGATGGAGTACCGAGTGAAGAAGGAGGGTCCCAACAAGGATCGTATCTTCTACAAGTGTCCGGATCACAATGTGAGTTATTTTATCGTATTTAATGATTATGGTTAGTTTATACCTATTTTCATGATGGTTGTGATTAAAGTTCTAATTTTTTGTTTTAATTTCAGTGGGATGGCAGTGGACGATGTTCAGGCTTCTACTGGGAGGAAGAGTATGTTGAACTCGTAAAAAAAATATCTTGCACAACAGGGCAGATCGGACGGCTAATGAGGCATTAATCCACCGAGAAGAAGCCCAAAGATGTTGCACAATCGGGGATCTGTCGTTTTAGTTGAGATTGGTCGTGAAATCCTAGTGCTACTGAAATGTATTTTAGCTTTAGTTCTTTTAGTGGTAGTTGGGATTGTCTACATTGTAGCGATGCTTTCATAAATTTGTATCTTTTGTGGTGGCACGCATGTTGTATAAATAATTAATTATGATCTAGGTTTTAATATGGTATTTATGTCATGTAATGCAGATGAGCCGTCATTGGATGTATAATGCTGATCGCCGCTCCCAAGAGTTCATTGACGGCGTGCATTCTTTGTTACGGGCGGCCGAGGCAAACAAACGCGACGGTTTCATGTGCTGCCCATGTGCCATATGTAAGAATACAGTGGAATATCCTTGCTCAAGGACTCTTCATTCACACTTGTTTAAGTCGGGTTTCATGCCAAACTATATTTGTTGGACAAAGCACGGAGAAACCGGTGTTGTAATGGAAGAAGGTGAAGAAGAACAATGGGACAACAATGATATTATTCCCGATGGTGCATGCTTCAATGATGCTGCAATGGGAGAAGCTGAAGAAGAGGTAGCCACAGAAGATCAGCCGGCTGATGATCTTTCTCAGGTCATTCGTGACGCACAAATAGAATGTGAAAGTGAAAAGGAGAAGATCAAGTTCGAGCGGATGATAGAAGATCACAAGAAATTGTTGTACCCAACTTGTGATGCAGGGCAGAAAAAGTTGGGAACCACACTAGAATTGCTGTAATGGAAGGCAAAGAATGGTGTATCTGACAAGGGATTTGGAGAGTTACTAAAAATCCAAAAGAAGATGCTTTCGAAGGACAATAAATTGCCCGCCACTACCTACGAAGCAAAACAAGTTGTCTGTCCTATGGGGCTAGAAATAGAGAAGATACATGCATGTCCTAATGATCGCATCCCTGCATCATGGCAAAGAGTACGAGAAATTGGATGCATGCCGTTATGCCATGCGTCATGCATATAAGATCGAAGCGAGATGACCTCAGTGATGTTGAGGGCGAACGTCCATGAAGAAAATCCCTGCCAAGGTTATGTGGTATGCTCCTATAATACCACGCTTGAAACGTCTGTTCAGAAACAAAGAACATGCAAAATTGTTGCGATGGCACAAAGAAGACCGTAAGGTAGACAATATGTTGAGACACCCTACTGATGGGTCCCAGTGGAGAGCAATCGACAGAGAATTCCCGGAGTTTGCAAATGACGCAAGAAACTTAAGGTTTGCTTTAAATACAGATGGTATCAATCCTTTTGGAGAGCAGAATAGTAGTCATAGCACTTGGCCTATTACTCTAAGTATCTACAACATTCCTCCTTGGTTATGCATGAAGCGGAAGTTCATTATGATGCATGTGCTCATCCAAGGCCCAAAGCAACCTGGCAATGACATCGATGTGTACCTGAGACCACTTATTAACGAACTTCTCATTTTGTGGAATAAAGAAGGTGTACGTGTGTGGGATGAGTACAAACAGGAACACTTTGATCTGTGAGCATTGTTGTTCGTAACAATCAATGATTGGCCTGCTCTAAGTAATCTTTCAGGACAGTCAAATAAGGGATATAATGCATGCACACACTGCTTCGGTGATATTAGAGGTGTATTCTTGAAAAAATGTCGAAAGGTCGTGTACCTTGGCCATCATCGATTTCTTCCTGCAAATCACCCCGTAAGAAAGAAAGGCAAGCATTTTAAAGGGAAGGCAGACCACCTGACCAAGCCTCGCAACCGAACCGATGAGGATGTACTCGATATGGTCAATGATGTGAAAGTCGTCTTTGGAAAAGGACATGGAAGCCAACCTGTTCCGAACGACGCTAATGGTCACGCACCCATGTGGAAGAAGAAGTCCATATTTTGGGACCTACCCTATTGGCAAGTCCTAGAGGTCCGTAGCTCGATCGACGTGATGCACCTGACGAAGAATCTTTGTGTGAACCTGCTAGGCTTTATGGGTGTGTATGGAAAGCCTAAGGACATATTTGAAGCACGACAGGACCTACGTTGTTTGAGAGAAAGAGACAACCTGCATCCAGAGAAGACAGATGATGGACGCCATTACTTACAAAGAGGAGAAGGAAATCATGTTTGAATGCTTAAACAACATCAAGGTACCATCTGGATTCTCCTCGAATATAAAGGGTATTATAAATGTGCCAGAGAAGAAATTCTGTAACTTAAAGTCCCATGACTGTCACGTTCTCATGATGCAATTACTTCCAGTCGCATTAAGTGAAATTCTACCTCCAAATGTACGTCTAGCCACCGTGAAGCTATGTGCATTCCTCAATGCAATTTCTCAGAAGGCAATTGATCCAACTGATCTAGCTAAACTACAGAATGATGTGGTTCAATGTCTCGTCAGCTTTGAGTTGGTGTTCGCTCATTCCTTCTTTGATATTATGACACACCTCCTAGTTCACCTAGTCAAGGAGATTTTCACTCTCGGTCCTGTGTTCCTACACAACATGTTCCCCTTAGAGAGATTCATGGGAGTCCTGAAGAAATATGTTCACAACCGTGCTCACCCAGAAGGAAGCATCGCCAAGGGCTATGGAATGTAAGAGGTCATTGAGTTCTCAGATTGACTTTATTCCCGACCTTGACTCGATTGGTGTTCTGAATCGAGACATGAAGGGAGACTAAGCGGAAAGGGACACTAGGGAGGAAAACATATATTGGTACGGATGATGATTATTTCAATAAAGCGCACTACACAGTTCTACGTAACTTCTCTTTGGTAGATCCGTATATTGAGACACACAAGGATCTCTTATGATCCGAGTTTCGTGGAAGACTGAAGCTTGGATTACGCGTAAGCACATGGAAACTTTCGGCGGTTGGTTGCGAAAAAATGTCAAGGTGATGAGAGCATCCATGAGCAATCAGATTTATTGGCTATGCAACCATCATGGCATATCGTCACATACAAAGGGTGC